CACTAGGTTCTGTTGTTGTTACAAGACGCACCATTAGAGTCATTTGTTCCATATGGCTGATGTCAGGTGTGCAGTCCAGAATAACAGAGTAATATCTTGTTGACTTCAGATGTGCCACAATCTTATGTTTGACTTTTGTTGCCAGTAACTGTATGATCTCATTTTGAATTGTTTTTCCAAGGTAGTGGTGTGTGTACATTTCCTAGGCGGTGACTCTTCTTAGATGTTCCTGCAGTACAGCATCAAACTCAGCTCCACAATTTTAAGGAAGTTTCCATTGTTTAGCACATACAACTGATCTGAAGTGCCACACAGTGCTAGGTTTTGGGTAGCAAGCATTCTCACAATGGCAATGAGCCTTTTCAGAACATTTTGCCAGTAAAGAGACTCTGATGCAATCTTGCCTTGATGCTGATCACCTATGGTGGCCTTTAACCTTAGTCTCATCTCAAGCTCTTTCCACCTATGGAATGCTCTCTGGTGATTTGCTGCCTTCTCATGGCATGCCAGATTTCTAGCCAGATTTTTCCAGTCCTTTGTTCCTGTAGAACCCAATGTGTCTGGAACATTAGACTGGAAGAGTCTGCAACAAAAACAGTATGCAACATTCTGGGTTTTTGAGTACATAAGCCACAGCCTCTCCGCTTTGTCACCATTGGGGATTTCACGTCAGTAATGTGTTGGATGGAAACTTTTATTTTCATTGTCTTTGGGGAACATGAAGTTTTTCACTTGCTGTGGCTCATGCAGTACAAGGAAGTCCTTCAGGTTACTGCTCAAGTGGGTGCACAATCCTGGATCATCTAGAATTAAGGAACTAAACTCAGCAGCAGCTGTTTCTTGTGCCTCCACCTCTTCTCTGATCTACACTTTTCTTCAGGAATGTGCATGGTTACATCCATTTGAGATGGCGATATGGATGCTGCAGTAGCTGCCAGGTCACCTGCACTATGGCTAAGTGGAAGATCCAGCATCTTCTCACCACTCACATCCTCACTGGGAACGGAAAGCTCACCGTGAACATTTGTGTCTATGTATCTCAGGAGAGCTCCTTCCTGCTTAGATAGAAAAGCTTCCTTTGCTTTCTTTCTTATTCTGAATGCTGCCCCAGAGGGGCGTTTTCTTCTTTCACTCATGACTGCTGTTCTGTGCCAGCTATAGTGGCTCTTAACAAGCAATTGAAGGGTACAAATAAGCAGGCTGGTAGCAGGGCCTGAGTAAGGGAAGATATCAGCATCTTAAGAACCTAACTGGTTCCTACTACTTCAGCTGACTGCCTGTTCTCCTCAAGTGGGTTCAGGGAAACAGCAGGAAACAGGAAGCTCCCTGAGAAGCTGGTGTTAATCACTCCAGGTTCCTGGGGGTGCTAGAGAGGTACATAAGAGGCTCCTCCTCCTCCTCCTTCTCTCTCTCCCTGCAGCTCCTGCTGCTTTCTGTTATTCCCTCTCACCTTTTCTCTTGCCTGCCTGTTATGTCTTTTGTGCCCTCCTTCCTCCAGTACATCACTTCACCATCTCTGTGCATCTAGAGCAGAGAGAATACATATGCACCAGCAGTAGACGCAATTTTCTACATGTAAGCAGAGTCAGGATAAGCTCTACCCTGACATCTGGTGGTAAATTATGGTGAGGGTTGAAAAGAACTTCAGGGGCTGACCTTGTTTGCATAGGCACACCTACCCACCTAGCCTGGGACAACAACAACTGAAAGTGGTTACTTTGGCTGGTGTGGGATCCCCAGTTTCTCTGTTATTGGGGCAGGAAGAATAAAGTGTTGTTACCCTGATAGGTGAATCAAGGCCAGTGGAACTGTTGTATGACAGAGAGACTCACCAGTAATTAAGTAGCACTTGCTAGACAAGGGGCATGGGTTACAAAACCCAGTGACTGGAGAGAGGATGGGGACAAGTATTTGTACCTGATGGTATGGGTGCCCTTTGAGAACTCAAAATACCAATTACACCATCTCCTCTCTCCACTGTTGAATGTCAGAGCTAATTTTGATTCCATTAGGAGTCTAGTTACAGGCTGCTGAACTGAATTCACTTTGGGCCAATGGTGCACCAGCACTGGGGCTCCCCTACTATGAGCTGAAATCACAAAAGTGCTAAAATCACAAAAGTGCTAAAGTTATTAAGAACTGAGATCACTGAGTGCTGTGTTAAATAGTGGGCAGCCTAAAGCTATACTGCTAAGGGCTGGCGGAGCAAGTTTGCGGGGACGGCTGGAGGAGCAGCAAGTGGTGCGAAGCCTTGCGGGGACGGAAGGAATGGTGAGTGGAGGTGTTTGTGGAATGGCTGGAGCGGCTCACAGGTCGGTGAGCGGAGCAGCTCGTAGAGCAGAGCAGTTCATGGGACGGCAGGAAGTGGACTGGCTCGTGGCGAAGGCTGCGGCGGAACCCCACAGAGAGATGGCCGGCCGGCCTCAGATCACGTAAGGTGCCCCTTAACACTCTTCGTGCTCCCCTTTTACTCTGTGGCTGCACTGACCAGGGACAGAGACTTTGGGGGTTGTTGGACTTTTGGGACATT